TGCCAATTTTCTGGGATGTTTGCACGTGGTTTCCGTGATTCATTGATTGGTAAAAAGCAAATTGATGTCGGCTTAAGTTATCAAACCCCGTTTTACCCGTTTTCGGCTTAGATTTTCTTTCACTTTTCTTTCTACTTATTACTTTTTCATACACATTAACTTAGTCCTCCATCTTAATTACCTTTTAAAAATTTTTTACCACGATCGTCGTACTGACGAAGTCCAGTTGTGGTAAAGGTAAGAAATGTATACGACTTAATGGACCGAAACATTTCGTACCTACTTTCATATTTCTTTTCATGTTTTCCATCATTTTTCCTTATATTTTTTCTTTAACCTTGAATTAGATTATCAAACCTCGCGTTGCCGATGATATAATTAACACTGCCTTCGTGGTATGTTGCCTGTGTGTATGTGTATGTGTGTGTGTGTGTTTGTGAGTGTGCGTTTGTGTGTGTGTGTGTGTGCGCGCGTTTGAAAGCATCAAGTAAGGAAGCTGAAGTGATTTGATAAATTCTGTACTGCCATTGAAAATTTGAGATAAAAAGTTTCACATTGAAAGTGTGGATTATCTTAACGATGCAGTGCCATAGAACGAGCTATGATCAGCCAGACTTTCGTCGTGGAACCTGCCTCGCTGAGAATTAGATCGAAATTGACGATTTGGGGATGAAGAAAAATGTGACGGATTAAGATTATGACCAGGGATAATCCATCTCCCGAATCAACACATTAGAATTTGTAAAATATCATGTTTCTGGATATTACAGAGAAGAATTCAAGATGATTTAGTTGAATTGTGAAATGTTATCTTGATTTAGAACAACAAATACAGCAACCAATGGTACTATTCACGGAGGAAGAAGTGAATGAACTGCATGCAATGTTCCCAACAGTGGATACAGATGTCATTAAGTGTATTCTGGAGGAAAAACGAGGCAACAAAGATGCAACCGTTACAGCAATACTCGAAATGACCGCTGAACACTGAACACGCAGTTTTATCGCTTCCTTCCTTCCTCTCTCTCTCTCTTCTGTGCATTGGCTCGTCGAACTAAACCTTTAAATAGCACTGGGAAAAGTAATTTTTTCCCCGAATTTGCCGGTTTTTGAAGTCCAAACTGTGATGAAGAACTGATATCTGTTATCCAAACCGATTACTCGTCATTGATATGAAATTTGTTTCAGTTTACAGCATCAATAGATAATCCTGCGGGCTCGAGCTTTTCGCAGTATGGCATTTTAAAAATTTATGCAAGTCGAAAAATATGGTGTTGCTAGCCTTCTGTCATGCTCGGTCTGTGTTTTTGCCCATTTGGTTTCCTCGTAAAACTAAGACAATG